TTCTAGCGTTGTAAGTCCGCAGACATACCGCTGTGACACTGGGGGCAAACAAAGCTGAACACGAGAAAATTTGTTATAAATGTTAAGGTAAATTTTCAGCTCTAGGAGGGAGAAAAAGCCAATAATAGGGGCAGAGGTAAAACTGTATCAAACAAATTATTTACTCATGCCCAAACTCTACGAATAAGTTTTCGAGAGTTTAATTGTAATCAAAACGAACCTATGTTCATGTACAACTGTTAATTTACCTTATCGTGTTTTAGATTGCTTAAAGAATTAGATAACGAACTCCGAAAAGATTGCAAAGAAACGTTTGATGACAATGAAAGTACAATTCTTAGACGCGATGTATCAGTCTAACATCCAGAATTAGACTTGCATAATAGAATACAAAAGATAAGAAAGTTTTAGTTTGAAACAAAATTTAAAAATAACTTACCTTTAGTATACGCCAAACGTACTTAGCATGTTCTGCAAAGCGTATCTGTAATCGAAACCTATGAGAGATGTTAGAAAGTAAGCCAAAGTAAAGAGCCAACATAAATTGTGTTTATAAGTACTTAGCATGTTCTGCAAAGCGTATCTGTAATCGAAACCTATGAGAGATGTTAGAAAGTAAGCCAAAGTAAAGAGCCAACATAAATTGTGTTTATAAGTTATTCTACACTATAATTTACATTTCTATTAAAGAACTTCTCATTGAAACATAGACACACAAATAAGGACTTCATAAAAAGTTTAAAATTTAGATAAAATATTTAAACAGTATAGATAATTAATGAAAAAATTAATAGTCGTTAACTATCCAATTTTATTCAACGTCTTTGAATAAAATTATAAGTATAAGATTAATAATTAATTTCTGCTGAACGAAAAAATAATTATAATTCATTTAACGTACCTCTTTCCAAACCTCCAGTGACATACACAGCGGAATGTCTGCGGACTTACAACGCTAGAAACCTGGTGGGCAGAGCACAGATTCGTTTGTTTGTTTATTTGTTTTTAATTATGCACAAAGCTACACAAGGGCTATCTGTGCTCTGCCCACCACGGGTATCGAAACCCGGTTTCTAGCGTTGTAAGTCCGTAGACATACCGCTGTGCCACTGGGGGCGACAGAGCACAGATAGCCCATAGTGTAGCTTTGTACATAACATCAAATCTCTTTCCAAAAGAAATATTTTGTATTCATTGTGCATTTAAAAACGTTTTATGATATTTTAGAAAGCTTTTAATGTTAGCTCTCTCTCTCTAGGCCCGGCATGGCCAGGTGGTTAAGGCACTCGACTCGCAATCTGAGGGTCGCGGGTTCGAATCCCCGTCACACCAAACATGCTCGCCCTTTCAGCCGTGGGGGCGTTATAATGTGACGGT